GATCATGGGGCACCAGATCGAAGGCTTTTCTGAAGTCAAGATATATGACATCAATCTCTTCTCCCTTGTCCAGGTGATAGGTCACCTGGTCATAGAAGGAAATGAGATTGGTCAAGCAAGACCTACCCGCAACAAACCCGTGCTGGCTATCCCTTAAGATGTTGGCGTCGGCCAGTCCATTAAGGATGGCCTCTTTAATAAACTTTTCTAAGATCTTCCCCGGGATAGAAGTCAGGCTGATGGGCCTATAGTTAGCCGGATCCACTTTCCTCCCTGTAAACTTACTTACTTTCAGAAGTGCTGCTTACTTGGGGTGAAATGCTGGCTCCACCATTGTGGTCAGTGCAAGTTCTGCCATGTTGTCTAATGGATAAAGTATTACACCCTTAGGCTCTGAAATCAGACATCTTTAGGGGGCCTCAAGATGGGCACATTAATGAGTTGCTTTTGAAAAAGCTGTTCAAGAGCTGCCTTCATATATTTCTTAAACTGACTTTCTTGAGATTGAGTTACAATTTTTTTTTTAATCTTCCTCTTAATTTACAGTTTAACCAAGTGCAGTTTACCTAACCCTTGCCTTGGTTCCCTTTCCCAAAGGTATAACTTTACATTATGTTGGTGCCTGGGGTGATGTGAATGGAGCACTTTCCTTCTCTCACAGACTGTGGTGGCACAGGCTATCGCTACTTTGGCACAAGCTCCCCTAACACAAGCTATGGACGCAGCGCAGGCTCTCTTCTGTGGCTGCCATTCTTCTGCCCCCTCTGAACTGGTTCCCAGAGCCAGTGCCACAGTTGCTCTCAACTTCTCTCCCAAAGTTATGCTACTGTCTCTTCCTATAACTAAAATGCACATTAGACAAATATATTTTAGTTAGTCTATAAGGGTGCGCATCTACCAAATATATTTTAGTTGGTCTATAAAGATGTGCATCTACCCTGCCTTCAGAAAGACAAGTGAGCACAGCATTTTGAATAAAAGCATTTTAAGAAACACACACGCTTTAATGTTGATTTACTACTCTTAGTAAAGCTGACTTTCTCCAGGTATCCTCTCTCCAAAACACATAATCAAAAGCATTTGTCACATTTAACAGTTTCTTTTTATATATAGTTTGGATATGAAACACTTGGAACTGGAAGGGCTTTACTCCATTTTTCAGGTCAGAGTACCCTCTAGTGCAGGTCCTCTGTATTGCAGGAAAATAAATTCAATGATATCCCAGTAACAAACTTGAATGGCTAGTAGATTTTCTTTTAAAGATTACTTCTTGAACTGGAAGCTTACTGGACATGTAGTCAAAAGAATATTTACTAAAGGTGACTTCAGTAACTGTATAGCTTGCAGATTCCTATGTAAATTTAATGGGACTTACTTACTGAAAACTAAAATGCTATATTTATGTTTTGGTAGTATTGATGTTGTATCCATGATGGTCCAGCATACATGTGATAAGTAAAGATTTTGTGGGTAATAAAATTTTAGTGGTCCAACTGCAGGGTTGGGATAAACTTAGGCAATACAATACATTCTCCTTCAGATCACCTGAAGATCTGAAGAATGCACTGCAGTTGAAAGCTTGCCTAAGTCTATCCCAACCCTGCAGTCAGTCCAATAAAAGATATCACCTGCAAAATTCCTTGTCTCTTGCATATTCATGTTACAAGTCCTAGTACTGGGGCTCTCTATTCCACTGGTACCCAGATGAGTAATACAGAGTTGGTCCATGGGCCAGACCAGGCCTGGCACACAGGGCTATGTCATCTGGCCCACGGGGCTTGGAAATTTGGCAGTGGGGGAATAATGACAGTGTTAATTGCCAGCACTTTCCCACTGCCAGATTTCTGACCTTTGGGAAACCCTGTGGAGTGAATCTGGCCTGTGAGCCAGAGGTTGTGCACACCTAATCTATTTGAGTAGAAGACTGAATAAAAGCTGCAGAGGGAAATCTATTTAAAACATGCAGTCAATTTCCCTCTCAATGGGGCATCGTTCCCTATATAACTTTAAATGTTGCAAGTCCTACATCCTTTCTCATGTGTACAACTCCAGAACTGAACATCTTGTCAAAGTCCTCATACAATACTGTCACCAGAAAAGACCGTATTTCTGTGGTTGTACCAACACCATACAGAGACGAAATACTGACTTTCTGCTATGTGACATACTTTGCATGTGCAGTACATATGACCTTATTTCCTCATTCCATAGGAGAATATGCATATCTAATTTGCTTTCCATTATTGCCTAGGACTTCTAGATTTTTAGTCTTCTCTTTCCTATTAGTCATTTCTTAATGACTGATTTTACCCAGATTAGTTACTTTGGAAAAGTGAATAGATACTTTCTATTCTTGTCAGGTTTTCTCTCATATCTCTTTCTCGTTTGATTTTTCTCTTGATGGGTGTTCAGAGCTCCATACAATGTACAGTAAAAGCTGTATTATCTGGCAATTTACCATCCAGAGTGCTCTTTTAACTGGCATCTGTCATAGACGGCATCTGTTGTTTACAGCAGTGGATCAATGCAGCAAAAGCGAAACCAGAAGTCCCACAATGGCACTTCTGATTTTGCCGCCATGAGCCGAGTCCCACTTCTTCCTCGAGGACCACGGCCCGGGGCAAAGCAACCTGTGCAGGATCCCTTGGCACACTGACGCCAGGGAGTGAAAGCCCTGGCGCACCACACATGGCAGAAGATAAGCCGGGCTGGGGATAAGCTCTCAGGTAACCGGCATATTTGATTAACCGGCACCCCCGATTGCCCATGGATGCCGGGTAACACAGCTTTTACTGTAGTGTAATGTCACTTCGGATTGACCTCTGTGGTCTTCTCTTCCACCAAATAAACTCAGTTATTTAAATAGTTATTTTTGGCACTCAATGTTGTCAGTGGTCTTTAGAGTTAGACTACAGTCAGCATAGTGGGAAGAAAGGAATTCAGCTTTATCAGATCTATTGTTTCAAGTTGTCTGCAAACTGTGAGGAAAACATCAGTACTCTTAATTTTCTATTCCAATGGTTGGAAACCTGACTTTGCAACTATGGAGCTAGAAACTGCTTGTAAACCAAAAGGTTCAGTTCTCTAAAATGTGACTACAATGCAAGGAACAAATACACTAAAGAAGCTGGAATTGGATTGCTTGACACCACTGTTAATATGCACAATATGGAAAGATAGTCAGTATAGCATTGACAAGCTAACCCATTTGTGTCCACACAGAAGACATGCACTGTTAAACTCCCACCTAAACTTATTAAACTGGACTAGGACTTGTTTACAAGGGTTGTACTAGTTTAATTACATCAGTGGCCCCATCGCTGAAGGAAAGTTATTCATTGGGGAAATGAACTGAGTCTCCTCTACAAAAGTTGGACTTTTTCCTGAAGTAGTTCTAATCTGGTGTAAAATCTAGCTGAAGTGCTACCCCCAAAGTGTTTTTTTAAAGGCCTGTAATCCAGCCATTCATATGGGCGACTGTTGCCACCTTAGTGAGGGAGGGCACGTGCCCCTCCAGCGACCAGTCAGTGACCGGAGGGGGTCCCCCATGACCAATTGCGTTGACTGGAAAGTGGCCACAGCGCTTCATCTGGTGCTCCCACTCCCCAGCCTGCGCTTGTGGTGGGGACACCAGCGCTCCCGCCTGCCCCCCTGGACCTCGCCTAAGTGGGGAGCATGGCCTGTGCACAAGTGCTCTCAGGGGGTGCACGTGCACCCCCGTGTACCACCTACACGTCACCACTGGCCCTTCACTTACCCAACGTGCATTTTTTTCAAAAGTCAGTTCTCACTCAATTCATTTCCCCAATGAATACCTTCCTTCAGCGATGGGGCCACTCATGTAATTAAACTAGTACAACCCTTGTAAACAAGTCCTAGTCCAGTTTAATAAGTTTAGGTGGGAGTTTAACAGTGCATGTCTTCTGTGTGGACACAAATGGGTTAGCTTGTCAATGCTATACTGACTATCTTTCCATATTGTGCATATTAACAGTGGTGTCAAGCAATCCAATTCCAGCTTCTTTAGTGTATTTGTTCCTTGCATTGTAGTCACATTTTAGAGAACTCTCTTTGCCTTGGTAAATATCCCTTGTTCTTTCAGGGCCTAGCTGCATGGTGAGATCAATGCACAATCCACAGAATCACGCCTCCTGCCGTGCCACACATGCACGGTGGCAGACGTGATCACGCAATCACACATCAGTTCCCATTATGCCTTACTGCAGGTTTTGGGCTTCCTGGGCACTGGCACGAAGTCACTGCAGCTGTAAGCTCTCTCCCCCAAGGGGCATGGCTCCTCCCCGGAGGGGCCCCGACTGCTCCCTGCCAGCTGCGGGGGTGCGTGGAGCCCGTGCCGTTGGGATTTCGCAGCAGCTGTGGTCTCCTAGCCCTAGGGTGCATGGGGCACCCCTGCGGCTGGACGAGCGCATCTACTGGGCCTGCCAAAAGATGTTGGAAATATCTGAAACCCATGGTGGGGTTGTAGGGCTACTTATGGTTCTGGACTGACTCACGCATTTCGACTTGATCTAGCTTGCAACACGAAACATTTTTAAAAAAAAAAACACAACCCCTCCCTCAGCTACTGCGGAGCTTTTGGCCCTGGGCAGGCTGCCGCCATTCTCACTTCATTGCCCCCTGCCGGCCGCCGTAGCTCCTCTGCGCCCGCTGGGCACTGAGAAGGGGCTTTTTTTTAGGTATCCTCTACAACCGCCTGGGAATCAGTGAGGCCGCTTGGGAAGCCGGGTCCCGGCAGTCTGCCCTTCCAGCAGAGAAAGTGGGAAGAACCCCCGCGCATCACCCTGCCGCGGCGCTGGGCCCAACATCACCGCTTGGGATCAGGCATTGGTGTGGGCACCCAGCGTCGGCAGTTGAGTCGCGGGGGCCTGCGATTCGACCCCCCGACTGCCCAATCAGGCGAGGCGGCGGCGGTGGGCGCCGAGTTTGAGCGGCGCGGCTGGGAGGGGGCTGGGCCTGGGGCCGTGAGCGCGGCGGGGCGCGCCCACGGCATCAAGGTCAAGAGCGGGAGCTGCCGGGCGGCGGCGGGGAAGCAGCATCCGACGGCGGCCGGGGGGGGAAAGGGGTCATGGAGGGAAGAGGGGCACACGTACCACGGCCCCAGTCCCATTGACCCTGCGCGTGCTGCCCCCGGGCTCCGGTTCCTGCCGTCCCCGCCGGGCCGGGCCGGAGCTTCAATTGTCCGCCCCCATTTCCGCTCCATGTTGGCACTTTATTGCCAGCGGCGGGGAAGCAGCATCCGACGGCGGCCGGGGGGGGAAAGGGGTCATGGAGGGAAGAGGGGCACACGTACCACGGCCCCAGTCCCATTGACCCTGCGCGTGCTGCCCCCGGGCTCCGGTTCCTGCCGTCCCCGCCGGGCCGGGCCGGAGCTTCAATTGTCCGCCCCCATTTCCGCTCCATGTTGGCACTTTATTGCCACTGACCGGCCTTTCTTATCCGTAAGGAGGGGCGGGCGCGGCCCGATCACAGGTTCTCTCCGGGGCTGGGGGTGCGTCGGTGGGGAGCGGCGCCGCTCGGCGGAGGAGCTTGGTAAATAGAGCGAGCCGAGTGTGGGCGAGAAGCCAGGCGCTCAGCGTCTCTTCAGGCCTGTGTCGGAGAGGGCCACTCAGGCAGGGGTCCCTTTCTGTGTCCCTCTTGCGAGCAGCGATGGACGTAGCAGTGGTGCGACTTGGTATGGGGCTGCTTTTGCAATTCTTATTTGTTTCTGAGAGCTGCGTGTTGCAAGGTAGAAGATGATGGTGAAAGAGGCAGCTCAGATTTTTTAAATAGTGCTTGGTCCTATTGAGTTTGACTTTTTTGTGTGACCAAGTGGGCCAAAGGTGGTGCTGTATAGTGCCGCTTCATGCAAAAGCTTTTTAGCTCTTGAAGTATCTTGAAATTTTTAGTCCTCTGGTTGAGGAAGCTTTCTCTGCTGATATAACCCGCTTGATGTAAAGAGAAAAAAAAAGACTATATGTAGTCTTGTAAGCAACAGCATTTCAGCAGAACTGAAAATAAACTTCCTGTTAGGTTGAGTTCTAGTGTGCATCATTTTTTTTAAACGTCATTGGGATGTGTTAAGGCAATCAGGACTTGTAGCAGAGATGATATCTTCTATTAGAACAAGATTTTTGCCAAAAAAAAAAAATCTTTAATTGCAAGCTTTTGGGCACAAACACCCTTCATCAGGCATTGGAGAAAAGGTTGTAAAAGTTCTCCGGGTTAGAAGTGAAAGTTCATATTTCCTAGGATTTGGGGATGTGTTGTTATTTGGTGGCAAGCCCTGTGCTGTTTTACCTTAAAATAAAAACGGTAACATTAACAAATGATTGGAAAGGGGTTTGTTCTAAAAATACATAGTTGCATTTTGAAAGTATTTGGGGGGGAAAAAAATAAATTACCCTATCATCTGCTGGAGGACTTCAATTAGCATAAGGCAGATGTCCCCATCAGGTAATATTAGAGATGTTGGCTTATGCAGGGCTAAAGAAGTCTAAACAAAATATTTTATGACTTCATTCTAACTAAATTATTCACCTGGTATAACAAAAAGGAAGTGTGGGGCACAGATGGGTATGAAAAGTGTTTACAAATTGTGCAAAGTTGTATACATATTTTCTACAGAGGCATAAATCTTCTCTTATAACCACTACTGGGAGTGAAAATACAGTAAGACGGTAGTAGATTCTTTTCCAGAAAAAATGTCTCTTTTGTTGAACCTTTTTTTTTTTTTTTTTCCAGGAGAGCATTCTAGCTTGTTGGTGCGTTAGTAACACTTCACTTGATATTAGTTGATACCCCTTATGGGATCTACATGCTGTCTCTGCAAGCTTGTGGGTTGATCTCATTTAAGACTCATGTAAATCTGCAGATCATTTTATCTTCAAATTTGCATTTAATCTGTACCTTCAAAAGAAATCTGGAATGAAAGGTTTGCAAGTATTGTGACTTTTCTTACCAGTCCCTAGTGATTCAGTCTTTTTGTGTTTAATAGCCTTGATTTCTTTCAAAGATGAGTTTGCATCAGTTGTTTATTAACTTGTTCTTGAACAGCCTGTACTCTGTACTTTGCACATTCAAAATTAAGAGGGAAGCTAAAGCTTGTTTTTGTTCGCTGTTGGACAAGAGTGTAAATACAGAATTGGCTTGCTATTCATCAAGAGAAAAAGAACAATAAGGTATTTGTTTTAGATCTCTAATTTAAATAAAATATTAGGTGCATCAAAGTAGAGAAGAATATTATACTTGAAGACCACTTTAGCTCACAGCTTGGTCTGTGTTAGAATTTGGGCATCTATAACTAGAGCAACTGTGTGCTACCGTGGTTAAACTGGAGTCTTGGAGAAGTAACCTTGGTAGTTAACTGTAAATATATAATTTTATAAAAAGAACCGCGTGTTCCAATTTTTTAAAGTTGGTGTAGACTCTCTAACAAGTTGGGGCTTTTTGTTGTTTTTGTTGGGGTTTTTTGCAAAGTTTTAGCTCCTTGCGGCTTCCGTACGCTTACGTTTTATGTTATGCTGGGTATTTTCTGTACCAGTTGCTTGGTAACACTTTCAAAAACTCTTTAACAATATCATATTTTGTGTTTTTTAGGGCAAGGTTTTTGGAATATCTCTTCATGCTTTACCTCAGTCACTTGTGCCAGAATATGGAACTATTCCAAAGTAAGCAAATATTGTGTGTGAAACTAGATCCATTTTCCCCTTCCTCTAGCAAATTATTTAAACTGGAGAGCAATTACAATTTTTTTCTTGGTCTAATAAAGGTTGTCAGAGGAGGGGAGATTCTACTTTGAAAAAAGAGAGTTTGGAAATTGTATTGGGAACTCAAGAGAGATGGATGAAGGAAAACTGAATTGCCTTCTGAATGTAAACTATGCTGTGACTTTTTTTTCCTCTTAGCTTTCTTCTTGATGCTTGCAAACATTTAGAAGAGCATATTCACACTGAAGGACTCTTCAGAAAATCTGGGGCTGTTGTTCGTTTAAAAACATTAAAGGTAAATTTTAAAGGAGTAGTTCTATTAGACTTCAACTATATTTATCTTGACTAGATGTGCTTGATGATCGGACTCTACAGAAGCCTTCAAGTGTTTGAACTGGGAGTACTTGGATTAGCTTTACTGTTGTTATTTATTTAAATTTCTTCTCAAAGATAGGCTTCCTTTTTGTGTGTTTTGAAACACAAAAAACCATGTTCAGTTTTTTGGAGTACGTAAGCACATACTCCAAAAGTTTTGTTGTTAAAAGCCTTGTGAAAAGTTATACACTTTAGCTAGGGTGGGTATACGAGGCTGGTAGTCTTCTCTCACAGTAGCATGGGATGAAGGAGAGTCAATACATCCAGAAACAATATTGTCTGATATTAAATGGTCAATGCTATCTACTAACTACTAGTTACCAGGATTGTAACGGTTGTGTAAAGTATGGGTGGGGGCTGCAACTAAAAATTGGAAAGATGTGAGATGAAACAAAGCCATCTTGTCTGCTGTGCAAATAGGGAAGGTGAGAAATGTATTGGCTCTTTGTCGATGAGACTGCAAACTCTTAAATCTAGTAATCCTATAAAACATGTTGTAGACCTCAATTTACATTCCTTATGAATTATTTCAGAGTAAACTGGATCAAGGTGAAAACTGTCTCTCTGCTGCATTGCCATATGATATTGCAGGGCTGCTTAAACAGTTCTTTAGGGAGTTGCCAGAGCCCATCCTTCCCTCTCATCTTCAAGAAGCTCTTTTAAAGGCTCAGCAGCTAGGAGAGGAGAAGAAAACTGTTACAATGTTGCTTTCCTGCCTGTTCCCTGACAAAACAATTGATACTTTGCGGTACTTTTTCAACTTCCTCAGAAATGTGTCCCTGAGGTAAGTAGGAAGAAACGTGGCCGGGTGCGGGGGTGAACAACTTGGAAACCTTGTAAAATGCTAAACTCAGATAATGGCTGTAGTTTTCTCTCATAAATATAAACAATCATTGCTTACCAGGGTTAATGCAAACAGTGTCTCCTCCTAACTTGTTGAGTGTATACCATAGAATCTTCACCTGCTGGGAGTATGACTCCTTTTCTTATCCTCTACCATCTTTCTCCCCCTTCCAAAAGAGCAGCTAATGAGATTATCTCTTATCTGGGTGGTTCTCCTGTCTGAGAGAATTCATCAACTGTGAACTGTTGAGTTCAATAGCATGCTTGTGCCATGACTTCCTGTCTAAAGTGTAAGTGTTGGCTTGGATCAGTGATTCTCACCATCCTTTTAAGTGTGCCTTGCATTGCCACACAATGGTATTACTTTTTTAGGTGTGCAAAAGTGCCAGTCAGCACCAGTGGTGGGCACGGCCAATTGCACCGACCCAGAAGTGCCAGCGGCGCCTCTCCTGGTGCCCCCACTCCCCAGCCAGTGCTCTCAGCGGGGGGGCACCAGCGCTCCCACGTGCCCCTCGCCGAAATGGGGAACGCTGGCTGTTAGGGGGTGCACATGCACCCCCTATGCATTGCCACTGAAATGCAGACCTTTCAAATAAGAATGCCAGTATTGCCAACCCCAGTGTGTCAAAAATCATGAGATGAACGCTTAAAAAATCAAGAGATTGGCATGTAAACCATGAGAGGCTATTTTTGAAGTTTGTGTCAGGGGGCTTAATTGTGAAGGTGTTGAGGGGGCTGTAGGTGTGTGGGTGGGAGGGAGGGTCCCCACACCCTGACAGGATGCAGGGTACTGTGTGTCAGGAGGCAGACTCCTGGGGCAAAGGCAGTCGGGTGCAGAGCTGTGATCCTGCAGCAGGCAGCCTGCCTCTGCCCCATGGGGGGCACATGCCCTCTGCCTCCCAAGTTTTAGCTTTACATTCTCCTTTTAATCAGAAGATAAGCACAGGAAATATGAAAGGCTGGCTAATTCAAGTTTTTAGTTGAGAGAGTCTAGAGCAGTGGTCACCAACCAGTGGATCTCAGAGCCTTTTGCGGCAGATCTTGGAGTCGATTCGAGGCTGGGGTTGCTGGGGGGTCGTTGAGTGCCTGCATGCATGCACACGGGCACCCCAGTCCAGCAGGTCATCCTGCGGGGGGAGGGAAAGGGCTGGGGCTAGATCGAGCCCCCTGCGGTGAGGGACAGTGCTGCAGAGACAGAAGCAGGGGTAAGTTGCGTGGGGCCCTGGCTGGGTGGGACTTACCTGCTGGGGAAGTGCGTCTCTAAATAATTTTTTCTCCCTCTGCCTTGATCTGCCCCCACCCTTCCCTCCCCACAGACTTACCTGCCTGGGGGGAGGGGAGGTGGCAGCACACAGTAGATCTTGGGTTGTTTTTAAATGCCAAAGGTGATCTCCTACTTAAAAAGTTTGGAGACCACTTCTTTAGACCAAAATGGCTGCAACCTATACCCCTGTAAGCTAAAACTTAAATTATATTAAAATACACGTTTAAAATATTTTCTTTAGATCCAATGAGAATAAAATGGATAGCAGTAACCTGGCAGTGATTTTTGCTCCGAATCTCTTGCACTCAAGTAATGATGAAAAGATGTCAGTCAGCACAGAAAAAAAGCTTCGTTTGCAGGCCTCTGTTGTGCAGACACTTATTGATCATGCAGGTGATATAGGTAAGATGCTGAATGAATACTGTTTATTGAAATGACTAGATGTGTATTTATTTGTTTAAAAGCATGTGTGCGCTTTTGGACCATAATTTCCCTCTTTAAAAATTTTAAATAAATCTCTAATTCAGGTCAAGTACCAGAGTTTATCCTGGAAAAGGTACCAGCCATGTTGGGTATTGATGGCTTGGGTTCTACTCCTTCACTGAAGGGCTACGAAGAAAGTGAATCTCCTGGTGAATGGAAAAGGAAGAGACGGCAAAGTGTTGGAGGTAAGTGTGTTAACTGAAAATCTGAGTTTAACAAGTGCTATTAATTTGAGAAACTTTGAGATCACGGTATCTGAGGAGGACCTGCTTCTGTCTCAGAACTGCAGACTTCCACATCATCTGAAGCTTCATAAGCTGAGGTTGAAAAGCTTGGCTTCATGAAAGCTAGCGTATGGCTGGAAAGCATTTTGGCACTTAATTATTGCTGAAGTGAAAACCACGTTTGGATAACGCTTGCCACAACCCTTAGTATGCATTTTTTTTTTCCTGTTTGAACCATAGTAGTTATCAGTTTGGTGTAAGCAGGTATGCAGCAAAATAATGCTGTACCTCTTCACATGTGGACACCTGGCTTCAAATCCTACCTTTGGTCACAAATAAAATCAATTTAGAGCTCTGAAAATTCTTGAGCCATCAGACTGATGTCACACTTCTTAGGTTTACAAGCTTATCAAACTTTAAGTGGAACTTGGGAGGAGTAGTGACCATCTATGGATCACCTTTTAGCTTTTGGACCACAGTTTATTGGTTAATCAGTGGTTCTTCCACATCTTGACAAAACTAACAGTTAGTTCATGAGACCTCTAGAATTGAAATATTAATGTTGCAAATTAGGACTTAAATGTACTGGTAGAGTACTGTTTTAGGAAAGTGCTTATACAGATCCCCAGGAGCTTTTCTCCCAATCTGTCTTTGGGCATTCAAGCTTGATAGACTATATACTGGTTTATGAGAAACTTACTTGGATATAATGAAGTTCTGCCCAGCTATGCAATTGCAATGAGGGCCCCACCCAGTATGTGGAATAGGATTTGACCTCGGGGTGGGGGATAGGCCTTGAAGTTGTACATAATAAGATTAGCTGGGCTAAAAGAAAATTAAATTTTTTGAATAGAACACTCAAACAGTTCTCTACATTCTTCTCAAAGGTCTTACTATTGCTTAGCTATTGGCGAGGGGATATTTCAGAGACCATATATAAAACATGTTAGGCTATTGGTGTGATATACCAGTCTGGGTCTCTTCACATGTTGGAATGATAGCTCACGTAAATCTTGCCAAATATAGATAATGGAACCACAGCCCCACTGATTCTATGTACGATAATGTGTACTCCACAACCCCACTAATACTCTGCACAGTACAGTTGTCTTACTAGCACTGTACCTGTACTTCTCCACATTTTTAAAAATAGGACCATGTGCTTAGTGTATATTGCTACAGATGAAATGTATCTCTGCAGAAGTTGGAGGTGAAGCTTTTTGTCTAATCACGCTATGTCTTTTGTGTAGTGTGCTTCATCTGTTGGAAGGGGAAAGGAGATCCCCGAGGAGTTGCACATTCTGTTAGTGAGTGGTAAATACAATGTGTGGATGTTAAGAAAAGGTTCCTTGAATTTGGTGTTGCTTAAGTGTGTGGGTGGCATTGCCCTAATTTTCTGAGATTTGGTTGTGGAAATGCACAGTAATATATAATATTTTCTAAATTTAAAAACTAGGCTTGAAAGAACTATTTGACACTTGTAATCTAGGATAAAAAGTTATCTGTCCAGTTATGTCTTCAAGGCCAGAACTTTTAGTCATGCCCACACAGTCTAAACCTGAAAAAGTTTATAAATGTGGTATGGAATACCTCACAGGTACTTAAGTGGGACAACTGGCTTGTACTAGGCTCCCAGGATAAAAGGCTTTTTTCCTGGGAGAAATCTGATACTTCTTCTTAGCCTGAGAAGACTTCTTCCCCAGTGCAGTTGCTGGTTATTCAAGTTAATTGCCATTCAACCTGCACCTGTAAATGATTTGCCCCCCCACTTGTCACAAGCTTAGGACAGTCAAACCCTGGACAGACCTGATGTCTCTTCTTTTTTTTACTTGGACTTCAATGGGGGGAAGCTGTACAAAAAAGCTGTCTGTTACCAAAAATATTTCTCTGTTTTTTGTTTATATATTTAACAGTTTTGTATATAATTTGGCTTAGCTTTCTTATTTAGTTACTTTTTTGTGTATGGAAGACTCAATTATTTTTCTTTTTAAAGAGCTGGCAAGGAAACTTGGAGGGGGGGCAAGTGTAACACCTGGAAAACAAAAAAAACCCCTCTTATTTTCTTTGTCCATAATCACTTTTCTCTCGTTTTTAAAAATAGAGCAAGACAAGTTCAGATTAAAAGCTTGATTGCTTGGTATGTCTTGCATTTCAGATATTGTTAGTGGAGCATTGAATAAACTAAAATCTAACAGAACACCCTCCACTACACCTCAGCGAGACACAAGTGGTAGGTATTTAGTGTATGTTTGCACTAAACAAAGTTCCTGCAGTATCTTCAGGTGTGTGGACTATATTTTAATAAGACTTGAACTAAAAGAATGAAGGCTTTATTTACTGAAATGATTAATGGTTTCTAAATCAAGTCTTTTCAAATTTTGAATATAGTTTCACTTTTTCAGTGAGGATACTACTTTTAGTCTTAGACCTGCTAGTACCATTTGTAGTAGTAGATTGGGCAGTTCTAGGATTAGAAACTAAACTGCTTTTTGTATGATGCAAACTAAGATTTGGATGTGGCTGTGCAGCATTTAGCTATCTGGAGAATTAGAGAATGAATTCAAATTTAAGCTTGAATCTTGCACATTTCTGTCTTCTAAACTTGCCAAAACAATTCTGTTTATCTTAACTTTCTTAGCACTTATATTTTCTTGTTCTATTAATGTATATTGTAGACTTTCCAATGGGAACTTTGCTTGCAAAATAAACAAAGCTATTGCTTAGTGCCTTGCTTATTTAAAATGCATGCCATTTCATTCCAGTTTTCTAATAACTGCTTCTGCAGAAAAATCTCCCTTATTTAAATAATGAGTATTTTACATTTTTCATTAAGTTCTCATCTTTTAGACTGTTCTTGCAGATTCAGTGCTTTATTTTGGATTTTTTTTTATTGCAGTCCTTCCATCAGTGACTCCAGTGATTCTCACTCCAAGCACTAAGCGTAAGCTTCCAAATGATTCTTCTCAGGGCTTTTCCAGCAAAAAAAGACGGTCTCTCAAGCATAGTTTTGGTTTTGAATTGCTACCAAGTAGTCTTTTTAACAGTGGCTCAACACCAGCATCAGGTACAGTGATTTTTCCTCTGCCTCCCTCCCCCCCCTTGAACCTTGAAGGCATTTTATTTTCAAGACGTTATTAAAAGCCCAGTCTCCTGTTCTTATTGGACTGTAGCAACATAATTTAATATTCTTGGTGTTATGTGCTTTTGACCCTTTCTATTTTATAGCTTCATCTATGATCTTCCATTCGCTCTCGGATTTAAATATGCATGACAGTTGTCTTTGTTCAATCCTGAATCTCCTTTTGAATGTTATATCTAAAACCTGGAAAAGATTAATTAAAATCTTGAAAACTTTACATGAAATGGATAAGACAGAATTACTTACTTACCTCCTCTTCTCTTTCCAAACTTTTTCCACATCGCACTTCTGCTTTCTGTTATGCAACTATTCTTTCCTTTACTCAGACTTGCAAGTCTGAAGTCTTCCTTTTCTGTCCCTCTTTTTTTTTTTTTTTTTTTTATATACCTAGGTCATAACTAAATCCTTCTTTCCCATCTTACATGCTGAATACGGTAAGGTCTCTAGTTAATTCACTACTGTTGTTTGTTTGTTTGTTTGTTTGTTTTGTTTTTAATTTTGCCATTGTTCCAATTCCCTGCAAGTTGCCTTATTCCCCATTCCCCGCTCCCCCCCTAGTTATAAAGGAGTCAGAGTTTACTAGATTACCACATTCTGCTCCGTTTGTCTGGCCACCTTAAAGGCACATAATGGTACCTCTAACCGTATATGAAGCACAGGGGCTCAAGTGATCTTTTTTTGTTGAAGCCTTCTATTAGCTCCCTGTTTTCTAGTCTATCAATTTAACCTTATCTTCAAGGCTGGGCTATACCTGCATTTGCACAACCCTATGTTCCATTTTGTCAAACTTGCATTCGTTTAATCTCTTATTTCACCAGAGTTCCCAGTTGTCCTTTCTTCTGTCAGCCTCTCACAGTCTCCTCTACCTCATTCCATGCAGCCCCTGAAGAATGTTATAGGCTGTGGATTTAACTAGGCTTTTTATCCTGGCTACATTTGTCTCTCAAATTAACCCTTGTCAATTGACTTGTACACACTGCAGAATTTGATTTAAATCCTATCTATTTAAATCATGATTCAAATCACTGGGTAGGAAGCCTCTTTTTTTTTTCCTCATTTTTTCTGCAAAAAGTGCATTCTTATTGTTTGGTATAACCTTAATATATGTTATTTGCAGCTGAAGAGATGTAGGTTTCATTTTAGAAGGTAAATGCTATACATAGTAAACCAGCAATTTATTTTGATATTTTTCAGATTAATTTTGCAGCTACATCAGAAAAATGAATTATGATTTGGTTATTTTATTTACCAAAACCCGATTGAAGCAGATGCATCCGGGTGCTTAAATGACTTCCACCAGTTCACTGGTGTGACTTTCCCTTTAAAACCTTATCAGCAAACATATATTTATTGAATGGTTCACCCTTAGCCCTGAAATTTTATTATAGTTGGTATTATGGAAGGATGATTGCTGGATGTCCATGTTATAGCCAACTCCTCATCAGCAGTTAAGGAATGACCCTGGTATCAAGTATTGAGAATATTGGCATGAATATGAGCTGGAGATAGTGATTGATCCATTCTTTTTTTTTAAATGCCTGTAATTTATCTCCTGTTATTGCACGTTGCACATTTCTCTTTTCAAGGTCTCACTCATTTTCTTCCCAGTCCTCGCTGTTTAATTGCTGATGCTGTTGATTTCATGCACTTTTGTTCAAGGCTACAAAAATAGACCTTAGGATAATCAGTATATGTTCTACATTTCTCTTTAACCCAGTGTTGAGAACTTTAGCTATGACAGTTTCATCTATTTTTGTCATGATTTGGTTCACAAATGATCATCAAATTGGGGCAGTTCTCAATATATCACTCAAAGTCCACTACTGAGTTCCATCTAACGTTTTGTGTGAGAGTTAGTTTGGTTCCTCCTGCTTTCTTCCGAGCAGCTGCTGCAAAGTAGTTGTTACGGAAGTGTTTTTTTGCAATTTCAGCAACACTAGCCTTTATTTCTGGAGCACTGAAGTCTAACTAAGCAGTGCATCAAATGAGTGCTGCAACCACACGTTGTTAGCTTGGGGCTTTCTTCTAGATTTCTTCTCATCTTTTGATACATTTGCAGCACTGTCTGTGACAGGTACATATTTGAATTGTTTTTGTTTGTTATAGCTTTTACTGTTGCTTCTTGTAAGTATTCTGCTGTGTGTGCATTTCTTGATCATTTGTTTCTGTATCATTGTGGACATTGCTCTACCCATCAGGACTTGGGTTCTTGCACACAATTCAGTTTCTTTCTCATACACTTTATCCAGCAGTTTGTCTGCTGTGTTGGGTGGACTGTATGTAGGTCGCAATGACTGAATTGTGTCAATAAAGTATGGGTTCTCAACCATATGGAAAGAAGAGTTGGTTGTATAAACAAATAGAGCATTTTTTTTCATTGACTGAGTCTTACTGTAATTGCTGGTTCTTATTACAAATTTAACATTGGTTGTTTCTGGATGATGGAGATTTTTGCTACAGGTGATCTACTATGTGAAACGCATTTGACTGGAACACTGGTATCATTAGCAGATAACTCTGAAACTGTAGACAGTGATGATGATGTTCAAGATGGATAGTCAGAATCCTGTATTTTGAGGATGGATCCTCCTGACGAAAAGAAGTCAGTGCAGTCACTATAGTACTGCTCATTTAGTATTACTTAAGGTAGATAAAAATCGGTGGTTAAAAATAAATTGGATTTTTATTTAAATCAGGGTTTTTTTAATTTAATTGTATTTTTAATTTTTGTTGATGTTTTAAAAAAAAAAATCCTCTATTAAGATAATTTTAATTTAAGATACGTTAAAGCTCAAAGATATCATCATGGAATAGGGACTATAATTTCTAACTATATACTACTTAGGTTACGAGAATATATTGCCTTATTTAGAAAAGGTTTATAAATGTAGTCCATGGCTTGTGACCTATAAGGGGCCCAATCTTATGGGGTTCTCAGAAGTTCCTCTATAGATTAGGAAAGATTGCAGAAAACCACTCTACCCGATGGGACTCAGTGCTCAGTCTAGACGATCCCATTAAGGATCTCTGTGATGCTTAGTTTCAATTCTCAAACTGTGTATTTTCCTCCAGAAATAACATCTTTGTTAACAGCATTTTATGGTGATGAGAGATCATGGACCTGATTACCTACCCATCAGCCCCATTGTCTCTGCAAGTTTGTGTACACAGAGTCAAGCTCTTACCTCTTTCTAAAAATGCAAAGTTTCAAGAAGTTAAATGAATAGACGATTGTAAGGGGTGGAGTAGATTTGGCCAAGGACCAGGAATCTGGAGATAAATGCAAGAAAGGAGGGGCAGTAGAAACAAAAGAGAAACATTTTGAGCAGAATATTCCACAAGTCTTGAGGGATAGGTTTCTGCGTATAGCCTCTCCATTGATTTGAGATCCAGCGAGAGAATAGTCTGGTAGAAGGGAAAATGTGTCATGGCAGCAGGCTTGCCAGGCCATAAAAGAGGCCCCATTTGAGAATATCAGACAACAAAAATACATTTCATGTTAGTTAATAAAAATAAAAAAATTTAAATCCAGGCTTGACCAGTGATTTAAATGAAATCCTCCCTGTTCCATACTTCAAGGACTGCCCATCTTCCCTGTCCATATTTTATGGGTGGACTTCTGGACTACCTGAATTCTCATTAAAATGTTTGAGGTAAAAATATAGTTGTTACTTTATTGAACTATCATATTGTTAATGTGTTTGGGATATAAAAATAATGGCTGAAATAGGCAAATCTTCCTTTACAGTTTCACTTTTAAAGTAGTACTAAGTGCAGTGAGTTTAATCCCAGGGTGTATTTGTTTTAAATGAAATAAATTCAAATCACGATTAAGTCACTGGGCAGGAAGCTTCAATTTAGTCATGGTTTTCTACAAGAAGTACATTTTTGTTGTTTGATATAACCTCTAATACATGTTACTCACAACTCAGAGATGGATGTAGGTTTCATTTTTAGAAGGTACACACTATACATTTTAAAGTGGTGACTTCGATATTTTTTCAGATTCAGTTTTCTGATGCAGCCAGAAAATTAATTATCATTTGGTTACTTTATTTACCAAAGCTAATTGAAGCAGACACTTGTGAACTATCTCCAGTTTGCTAGATTAACAATGGATGTATGGGAGATTTTTGCCACGCTGTATTAGAAGGACATCAAATGAGCGCTGCAGACATATGTTATTTCTTTACCCCTTCTCCTAGATTTCTTCTCATCTTTTCTCTCTCATGGCCTGGCAAGCCTGCTGCCATGATAGGTTTTCCCTTCTACCATACCATTCTGTCTCTAGATTTCAAATCAATGGGGAGGCTATACTCAGAAACTTATCCCTCAAGACTTGTGGAATATTCTGCTCAAAATTAATGACTTGGGTGAGGGGGGTGGAAAGCTCAGTGATTAAGGTCATGGATGATACCAAGCTGTGGGGAAATGCAGGCACATCAGAAGATAGGCTAAAGATCCAGGATGACCTTGGCAGACTGGATTCATGGGTGGAACAGAATCAGGTGAGGTTTAACAGGAAGAAGTGTAAAGTCCTTCATCTGGGTAGGAAGAACCCTTACCATAGCTACACGATGTCTGGTGTTCCAGCATCTGAATGAGACCTGGGGGTCACGATCAACTGGAAGATGAATATGAGCCAACAGTGCAATGGGGTTGCCAGAAAGGCAAATAGAGCTCTGGCATGCATCAGCTGATGTGTTGCTAATAGATCCAGGGAGATGCTCCTCCCTCTCTATTTGGCACTGAATGAGGCCTCAGCTGGAGTACAGTTGTCTGGTTCTGGGCACTGCACTTCAGGAAGGATATGGATAAGCTTGAGTGGGTACAAAGAAGGGCCACTGGTATAGTCAAGAGTGTGGAGGATAGGCCATATGGGGAGAGACTCTAGGAACTGGCCTGTTCAGTCTGCGTAAGAGAAGGCTGAGGAGTGATTTGATAGCCAGCTACAAGTATGTCAGGGGTGAGCATCAAGATCTAGGGGAGCAACTCTTCAGGAAGACACTTCAAGGGAGGATGAGGACCAGTGGGCATAAGCTAATAGAGGGTAAATCCAGACTAGATATAAGAGAACTTTTTCTCTGTAAGGGTTACCAGAATCTGGAACACCCAGCAGAGGTGGTGCAGGACCCTCCTTGAAGGTGTTCAAGATGAGGCGGGGCAGACACCCGGG